CCCACACGTTCTTCGCGGACAGTAACAGGCCGGGACTCTCTCCAGGACAGGCCCTAGGTCCCTTTCCTCGTCTTCCCAGGGGCCACTGCTCCAGCCTGACTTCTCACCAGGCACCGCCGGCCTCTTCCCTCTGCGCTGTTTCTTACAGACCGGAACCTGCGAGCAGGGAGCGGAGGTCACGCTGTCGACTGTGAGTTACCGTCTTTCTGGCGTAAACCTGCGTTTCACAACCCCCTTCTTCAAACAGGAGGTTGGGGTCGCCGTGGGCCTCATCGTCCCCTTCGCCAGCCCTTCCTTCTTTAAATTCCGGTGTCGTCGTAGAGGCCGAGCGCTTCCCTTGGTATTCGAAATGGCTCCGGGGCTGCACCCTGCCCTCCTCTAACCCCGTCTTCGGTCCACGTAGACCCGCCTTTCACCTGTTTTCCTTTGTTAAACCCTTCCCTGACCTCTCTGCCCGTCAGGCGCCTTCACAGCGTTCCGTGAGGTGGGTTCACGGTCCGGGCTCGCCCTCGGGGTCCCTGAGGCAGAGTCGGCCATCCCGGCCCAGGAAACGCCGCATCCTCTCCCTGGTGCTGGGGATTTTGGAATCCCCACCCCTCTCCTGAAACAGCCTCCCTGCCCTGTCCTGCGTCCCACTGAGGCCCGGGCCTTCTGCTCCTCAGGCCTGCCTTTCGTAGCGCCCCTCCCTTTGACCCTGCGGTCCTGGGTATGACCTGGGTCTGCCATGTGCTATCCACTGATCTTCCGTCCCACATTCCCTCCCACTGAGGAGGGTGCGCCTCAGGGAGGCAGGCCTCTTCTTCCATCTCACTCCTTTGCCCGCCAGGAGTTCAGAGAAAACAGGTCCCCGGGGAGAGGAGAAGGGAGAAGGGTGAAGAGAACAGATATCAATGTGGAGAATGAGAGAGACTTGCAAGGGTATGGGAGTAAGAGTCAAATTGTAGAAGTTCAGAGAAAAGAGGAATTTCCAGGGAGATGACAGCTAGCAAATAGAGGGGTTGGTGGAGGAACAAGGGATTCTGTAATGAATCAGGAATTCCTAACTGGGCAGTCATGGTGGGTAGTCATACCCCAGGCCTGTGACTTCTTTACAGAAAGGTTTTGAAGGCAGCCTTTTCATTATTCTTGTGCATTCAGATTAACACACCTTTGATGTACCAGAAGTAATGCCAGTTTAGACTTGACCACCTTCAAGAAAGCACATCTGTTCTATAACCTATTCCTGCCTCTCTTTCTCTCATCTTCATGTAATTAATCTACCTTATGTTCCTTTCTTAATTTCAAATGAGTAAAAGAAACTGCAAAACTGCCATTCTCGGGAATATTTGAGATCTTCCTCCTTGGGTTATGTCGATAGTTTGGATCAAATAAACTCTTGAAATATCAGGAAGAGAGGGGAACAAAATGAGCAACCTAGCAATAAAGAGAGAAAGAAAAGATGGCATTAGATATACAGAAGGAGGAAGGGAAATGCATAGTAGTAAAGAAAGAGGAGTCCAGTTTAGGAGACATACCTAAAGGACATGAAGTCATATTCTGCACTCCCATGAACATTACTGACTTAATCACAGCAGCCAAGATGTGGAATCAACCTAAAAGTCTGTTGACAGATGAATGGTGAACATAAATGTGATCCATATATTTATATACACAATGAAATATTATTCATACATAAAAGTGGAGAGAGGAATGAACAACATAGTTGAAACTGGAGAACATTATGCTAAATGAATTAATCCAGACAGTGAAAGAGAAGTATTTTCTGATGTTGCTGTATTTGCTATCTAGAAGTCAAACTCACAGAACCAGAATGATGGTTACCAGAGGCTGGGAGTGGAGAATATGAGGAGATGGTGGTCAAATAGGACAGACTTTCAGTTTTAAAATGAATTAGATGTGGCCGTCTAAAGTACTGCATTTTTAATACACCTAATCACACTGCATTACATACTTGAAATTTGCTGAGAGATAAGTTCAAATAGTCCTTCTGGATTGATGGATATGTTAATTCAGTTGACTGTGATATTTATTTTACATTGTATATGTATTTTAAATGTTCATATTGTACTCCTTAAAGAATTTGTATTTGTCTAGTATGCCTCAATATAGCTAGGGAAGAAAAAGCAGGTGGGAAATGTGTTAGTCTTGCCTCTTCTGCGTGGTGCACATTCCATTGCTGCACATTGCATTGCTGAGACATTTTTTTTCCTTACATTTTTAATTAAACTTATTGGGGTGACATTGGTTAATAAAATTATATAGGTTTCAAGAGTAGAATTCAATATATCATATTGCATTGTGTTCGCCACCCAAAGTTAAATTTTCTTCTATCACCATATATTTGACTCCATTTACCCATTTATTTTTTTGAAATAAACTTTTTATTTTAGAATAATTTTAGGATTACATAAAAGTTGCAAAGATAGTAAAGATGGCTCCCATTTGTTCCTCATTCATTTTTTAAAAATTTTTTTTATTAAGTTTATTGGGGTAACATTGGTTACTACAATTATATCATTTTCAGGTATACATTATAATGTGACATCCATCTATTCTATTGTGTGATTACCACCCAAAGTCCAGTTTCCTTCAGCTACCATATATTTGACCCCTTTACCCATTTCACCCTCTCCCTACTCCCCTATATATGACCCCCTTCACCCCGTCTACCTCTCCCCTGCTGAGGCATTTTGCCGTGACATTTTTTGTGCCTCCTGACTAGAAAGTGTCACTGAAATAATTGGGGGTGAGCACAGCCTCAATAATATTTAAATGCTTCAGGTGATTTTAGTCTTTATCCATCACTGAGCAGCAAGGCTCTGGGTCCTTCATTTCTAGGGGCTTAAATCTGGTTTGAGGGTGAGGGGACTCTCCTCTGCACGAGGATAGATAGGGCCAGGTCTGTTACCTGAAGGGGAGTGTCGGGTCAGCTGAGTTCCACACTGCTGCAGCGTATGTGAAGGTGTTACCAGCGGGGCAGCATGAGCTGAAGAAAGGACGGGAACCTCACTCGATCTCTGAGGAGAAGTTTACTAGTTCACTGTTGCTTCATGTGTCCTATGTCGGGCAGCAGACACTCTGTTTTCCACATGGCGAGATTTTGCTTGTGTGTGTACTGGTGACACAGGAAAGTGGTATGTTAATAAACAAGATATTTTCAACTTTCCAGATTGACTTATAAGGACTCATTGCCTGAAGAAGAAGCCCAGAAAAGGAGGAGCAGGAAGGAGAGGGATTCGGAGATGGCTCTTTCTCAGGTAGATTCATATTTTCGGTTGATTGTTGTCTCTGTTCTTCCTGAATGCCCTTTGACTTGCTGATTGTCTCTGTCTCTGAATTGTCTTCCCTGACATTTGTTCACACTCAACCTGGGCCTTCCTTATTCCCTCTCATCTCTAATTAGATTGCATTTTACCATGATCCAGTGACATGGGACTTGTGAAGACACTCCACTGGGCATCATCTTGGGCAGGGCTGGACGCCCTTGGATTGGAGATAGGGTGTGGACCCTGTGGCCTCAGTGTGGTTGGGTAATGGGGATTGTTCAAGGGCCACATCTGGATACACTGTCACCTCTTTGTCAACTACGATAAAAGATGATGTATATAGATATCACATATTCATAGGCATAAATACCTCAGTTCTGGAAAAGGGAACAATAGGCGGTAATGTTTCTGACTGCTTTTATGATGCATTTGAAGCTAAAAGAGTGAATCATTGATATCAAAATCTTCATGATTGGGAATGGAATGGAAAGTTCATAGATATCGGTGACAGAAAGTGTTTTATTCCATCATCCATTTTAAAATAAATCAACCATAATGACAATTGGAGATTGTTTAGATCTTCTCATATCCATTTCTTAGAAGCTGCATTTTCACCCTGTAGATTGTATCCTTTGACACATAAAAGTTTTTGTTCCATGCAGATAAGCCTCCAGCTTCATTCTTTAGCATTTAGATATTCAGTTTTCCTTGCACGGTTTTGTGAATAGACTGAGTTTTCTCCATTGTGAAGTGCTGGCGTCGTCTGAAATCATTTGGCATATATGGAGGGGTTTATTGCAGGGCATTCTCTTTTATTACATTAGTTTTAGATTAATGCCTGTATCCCACTGACCTGATAATGCTTGCTTTGTAATATGTTTTTCAATCTTAAAAAATGAAAAATCCAACTTTTCTCTATTTTCACAGTGTTTTGGCTCCTCTAAGTTGCATTTTCTTTATTCCGTATGAATTCTAGTGTGTGTGGGTGCGTGCGCACGCACACGTTTTGCCAAAATTGCGTTTGGAGTTTTTATAGTGATCCCATCAAATCTGTAGAACACTTTGAGTAGCATGGACATTTGAACAATATTAAGAGTAAGGGATGTCTTTCTGCTCATCTGTACCTCTTTTGATTCCTTTTAGCATTGCTTGGGAGTTTTCAGTATAAAAGTCTTGTACCTTCCTGGCTACGTTTATTCTTATGTATTTCGTCTTTTTTGATGCTATGATAAATTGGATTGCTTTCTTAAGTTTCTTTTTAGATTGTTCATTGAAACTAAAATAATTTCCTGTTGAATATTTTTTGCATGTATGTAATCGGTATGATTTTTTATATGTAAGCTCATTTTATACGGAAAAAGAATTTTATTTTTCAGTTAGGATGGCTTTTATTTTTTTTCTTGTCCAATTGCTCTGGTTAGACTTCTAGTACTTTGTTGAATAGTAGTGCTGTGAGTATGCATCCTTGCCTTTTCCTCATCTTAGAGATAAAGCATTTAAACGTCCTCCATTGAGTATAACAAGAGCTTTGTGCTTTTCAAATATGGCTTTTATTATGTCAAGGAAGTTTACTATTAATAGTTTCTTAAAAAAGGTTGTTGAATTTAGTCAAGTGCCTGTTCTGCATCAGTTGAGATCATGTGTTATTTCTTTGTGTTCATTCTCTTAATGTGGGTTGATTGATTTTTGTATATTAAACATTCTTGCCATACAAGAAGAAATTCCATTCAGTCAGGACGTATAATTGTTTTAATGTGTTATTGAATTTGTATTTTAGTAGTATTTTGTTTAATATCAGTACTGATCAGGGATATTCGTCTGTAGTTTTTATTTTTCTTGTTCCTTTTTTGTGTTTGCTGTCAAGACCATGCAGACTCCATAGAATTAATTTTTGAATGTTTGTTCTTAAATTTTTTGGAAGATGTTTAGCAGAATTATTACTTTCTGTTAGCATTTGGTAGAATTTTGTGGTGAAGCCATCTATTTGGGGTTCGTTTATTTTGTTGGATTTTTTGATTAGTACTTGAATCTCTCTAGTTTGGTTTACATTTGATTTACATTTTTAATTTTTTCATGATTGTTTCTTGTATGTTTTTAGGAATTTATCCATTGTCTTTTAGATTATATAATCTTTTCCCACAATGCTGTTTATATTACTCTTTTAAAATCTTTTACAAAATTTTTGTGACATCAGTTGCTGTGTTCTCTGTTTCATTTCCGATTTAAGTTATTTGAATAATTTCACTTTTCTTAGTATAGTTCAGTGTTTGAAATTTTGTTAATGTGCTCAAAAAAAAAACTCAGCTCTTAGCTTGTTGATGTTTATAATGATATTCTAGTTACTTTTTATTTACCTGTGCTCTAATCTTATTTACTTCTTTTTTTTAACTAAAATAATAGTTATTCTTTTTTCAGGAGGGTATAAAAATTGATTTCCAATTTGAGATTGTTCTTCTTTTTTATGTAAATACCACTTAGCACCTCTTAGTGCTGCAATCACGGCATTCTGTAAATTTTAGTCTGTTGTATTTTCACTCTTATTTTCATCCAGATTTTTAAAAATTCTCGTGATGTCTTTGAACTATTGGCCGTTTAAGGATGACTTGTTTATGTTGCGCTTTTTGTGGATTTTTCTGTTTTCTATTTGTTTCTAGCGTCATTTCCTAGAGCTTAGAGAAGACAGTTTTTACAATCACAATTTGTAAACATTTTTTTGTATTTGTTTTTTGGCTAATGTGGTTGGTCATGGAAAATGTTCAGTGTGCTTGAGAAAAATGTGTTTTCTGCTGGTGTTGGATGGAGTGTTCTGTATATGTCTGTTAGACTCCACTGTTCTATGGAGTTATGAGGTGTTCTGTTTCCTTATGGATCTTGTGTTTGGTTATTGTAGCCACAGCCAAAACTGAAATAGTGACGTTCTCACACTATTATTGTGCTGGTGTCTATTTCTACCTGCATTTCTGTCAACGTTTACTTCATATATTTGGGAGCTCTAATGTTATATGCATCTGTATTTATAATTGTTATAACTTCCTGGTGAGTGGACTTACTGTTGTGTCCTTTGCCTTTTGTCAGTTTGTTTATTTAATGTAAAATTTATTTAGAAAGCAAATCAAGTTGAATACAAAATTTTTTACTATGCTCAATTTAGTCAACTTCTTTCTCATGAGATGAGCTAGTAGAATGAATGGATGTTAATTAACTTATTGGCTCATTGGTCACATGATTTTTCTGTTAATCATTTTAATAGGCTGTCTTCTATGAATATTTTTATTCATGTTTGAGAGAATTCATCAACAAGTCAGTTTCTAATTATTTGCATAATACTTCAAATGGTGTCCATCATTCTTAGATATTTACAGTTCTATAAAAGTATGAGTAAAGGATGTGAATGCTTCTTTGATTCTAAAGAATTTGAGAGAAAACAAGTAATTTAACTAATGCTAAATAGAAAATATTTAAGAGTAAAATTTTTATTATTTTATTTTTTCCTTATATATTTATTTATTTATTTATTTATTTTTTCTTGGTGACATGAGTTAATGAAATCCAGTAAGTTTCAGATGTACAATTCAACAGTAAGGCATACACACACACACACACACACACACACACCATTGTGTGTTCACTACCCATAGTTAGATTTCTTTCCGTGAACACATATTTGACCCCTTTTACGCCATCTACCTCTCATCTCCCCCATCCCCCCCACAGTATGATAACCACTAGTCTGTTGGCCACGTCCATAAGTCTGTGTTTACTTGATCTGTTTGTTGCTTTTAGGTTTATATCCCACATATAAGTGATATCATGTGATTTTCAACTTTTTCTGTTTGGCTTATTTCGCTCAGCATGATTATCTGGATGTCTATCCATGTTGTCACAAATGGCAGTATTCCATCTCTTCTTATGGCTGAGTAATATTCCATTGTATATGTGTACCACAGATGCTTTAGCCAATCATCTATCGTAGAACACTTTGGTTGCTTCCATGTTCTGGTCACTGTGAACAATGCTGCTATGAACATCGGTGTGCAAATACCTTTTCTGATGTGGGTTTTCAAGTCTTTGTGGGAAATAC